GGGCTAGAGTAGGCAAGCCTGTTATTGTGAATTGGAATTTTGAAAAAAAGTAAAACAAATGTTGACTCTAAAAAACCAAATAACAAATTTTTTGATCGTTCTAATTTATTTAAAAATAATTACAAAACTATTTTTAATTTACATAATTAAACAAATAAAAACTGTGAATAATACACAGTGTGTAACAAAAGATGTACAGTAAATTTAACCACAATTTCAGATGTCGAAAATAAGTTAACTTGCTTATATAAAGGGATATTAAATAATTTACAAGGTGTTAAAGTAAAAACGAGTTGATATATTTTTTATAAAAATGTACATGGGATTTTAGTATACAGTGACCAATAAAATTAAGTTAGTGGCGTTCAAAATTGTTTTATTTCTGTAGGTTTTTAGAAGATTTCCACACCCTTATGTTTTGCATTTTTTTAGACAATGAAATTCAGTTTAAAACAGGACACCATTTAAATCCTACATCTGTTTTGAAATGTTTTGTTTCTTAGTATTTGTTTATGTTAATTACTGAGTTATAGGGCCCAGAAGGAAGGTCATAGTGGGAAATTTTTTTATTGATATTAACTTAAAACATTGAATTTATTCATGATTTTTTTATTATAATGATCAATAATAATATTGTAAATGAAGTAATTAAGGCCTTCAATAACTAATACAAAAAGACCAAAAAAAAAATCAAAACAGATGTAGCTTCCGGTTTTTATCACATTTCAAATTTCTATTTTAAGCTTTTTAATATTAGACCAAGAAAAAAAATATTTTCTGAGGGTATAGAAAAACAAGGAGGTTGCATAATATTTAATTCATCAAAAATTATGTTGTTACCTAGCAAATATTTGGAGAAAAAAAAACTGATTAAGAAAATATAAATCTTAATGAGGAGGATAAAAGATTCATTGAGTTTTTGGCAGTGTTTGCCTATCACGCGAGGTGGCGCGAACAAGACTAGAGTAAAAAATCGTTAAAATACCCTTGTGAGCACCCTTGTCTAGTTTTAGGTAACACCACTTGATGGCGGTGCTAAATTTTAGGGTGATTTTGTAACTCATACGTAACCGTAATGTAAGTATACTCGGAGAAATGGTTTGAATGATTGAGGTCTATCCGATGGCCCACTAAATATTACGGGAATAATAATAAAATAATAATAAATTTTTGGAGGAGCCCAAATTTATTTGGGCTTTGAAGTAAATCAAAACATAATT